CAATAACTCTTCCTTCAACATTATTTAGAATTTTAGAATTAAAACTCAGTTCAGCAGATGGACTTATATAAAAGCACATTTAGTCTAACTTTACAGCTAAGTCCTGGTATACAGAAAAAACATTTGGTAATACAAAGGAATCCTGAAAAAAATTAGTACATATTATGAGGCGCATTTAATGAATAATCCAAACCAATATTGATAAGGATAGCTTTGATTGCCGTATGAAGAAAGAAAAATTAAAAAATCCTGCAAAACATCAAAAACAAGAAAAAACGTTAACTTCGGCTGCACCGAACCTAATATATCCTTCACAGGTGCATTTATTTTAGTAACTATATGTTCACTTTGTATGGAAGCTATATGCTATAGTAATCCGATCTGATTATATTATTACCTTAAGCAGTAATCCATATTAAATTTCGTGAAGATGCCACGTCAAATGCGAAAGTTTTCCATACAAGCCCCTGATTCCGATCGATCAGTTTGTATCGTAGCTATATGCTATAGTTAACCGATCTGAACTCTTCGGAGATTAAATTGTTGCTTTAAAAAATAATCTGCACCAAATTTCGTGAATATATCTTGTTAAATGTGTGAGTTTTTATAAGAACTTGATTCCGAACGTTTAGTTTGTATGACAGCTATATGCTATAGTTAACCGATCTGAGCAATTTCTTCGGAGATTACATTGTTTCCATAGAAAATAATCTATACGCAATTTCGTGAATATATCTTGTTAAATGTGAAAGTTTTCCATATAAGAACTTGATACCGATCTCTAGTTCGTATATATACGGACGGACGGACAGACAGACAGACGGACATGGCGGAATCGACTCAGCTCAACATACTTCAGATATATACTTTATAGAGTCTCCTGCGCTTCCTTCTTGGTGTTACAAACTTCGGGACAAACTTAATATATTCTGTTCAGGGTATAAAAAACATTTTAACTTCTGTTAAAATAATTGGGAAGGGATACTTAAGGAGGGAGCCTGATTTAGAAGCTTCAAAAAATCAATTTTTCTGAGGATGTCCTTAGGGGGGAAAAATTTATTGATTAAAACGAATTTGTGGAATTTATAGTTTTATATTTAAACATCATTCTCACATTTTTTGAATACAAAATCATTTATATTTTGCTTTGGGTATCATCTCGCAAGTGCATTTGTCGGATGGCGGGCAGGATGCAGGTCGTAATTTCTATCTGAAACAAAAAATGTAAATAGATTCATATTTTTTAATAACATATCTACTAGTTAAACTAAAAAGCTCTAAAAAAAGTGTACAATTTTTTAAAACTTGAAAAATACTTTTTTTCCGCTTTATGTTGTTTAAAAATATGTTCGAAAATTACTTTTCTTAGTTTTTATGTCTTTTTATGGCACTTGCAATTTTGCATTGATTGGCAGTGTATTTCGCCAATAAATCATTGAAATTAAATGCATTGGATTATTTTTTACACTCTTGCTACCAGTTGCTACAGAGTATTATAGTTTTGTTCACCAAACGGTTACACGTCTCACCTAAAACTCAGCGAGCTAGATATATGTATGTACATATGTCGGTATATACATATAAGTGATCGTCATGACGAGAAAAGTTAAAATCCGGTTGACTTTCTGTCTGTCTGTCCGTTCGTCCGTGCAAACTGTTACTTGAGTAAAAATTGAGATATCTAGATGAAACTTGGCCTGTGGTTTCCTTAGTACAAAAAACATTTTGGGTTCATAGATGGGCGCAATCGGGCCACTGCCACGCCCATAAATCGCCATAAACCGAAAACACATAAAGTGCCATAACTAAGCACCCAATTAAGATATTAAGCTGTAATTTTGTACAGAGAATCTCAGTAGCAAGGGGCATCTGTGGGAAATTTTTTTTTTAAGGCTGAAGCCACTTAATCTATAACAATGAAATTTGCTGAGTACAAATCTCATAAGAACTTCTACCAATAGTGCGAAAATGGATGCAATCGGAGGATAACGCCCCTCACTCGCCATACTGTTAAACCGGTACTGTTAAAAACTACTAAAAGCACGCTAAAACAATAATTAAATATGCCAGAGACTTTCAGTTTTAGCAACGAGATGGTCTGGAAGAGCTTTATGGGAGCCGATGAGAAAAGATGAGAATGGGCGTGGAACCGCCCACTTTTCGGGGATCCGACTAACCGATTACGATAAAATTTAGTACGTGGCATTCTTCTAATATTCTTATGTCACGATATGACACTTCCATATAGCACAATTTTAAAATCCACTTTATTCGTTCAGTACTCAACTTTTTAAACTTTTTACTGTTTAAATATTCCCCTGTCTTTAATTCTCGCAAGTTGCAATAGTATAAAATTTTCGGTTGCAGCCGAACTTAATTCAATATCCCGAATCTAATGCAGTAAAAAGTAAAGATTTGTTGAAAAATTACTTACCTTTGCAAAATTTTTCGCGAGCACCAAATTTATTTTTCCATTAAAAAACAAACAAACAGCTGATGCGATCTTACCGAGTAACGATAAAATTATGAATGTCAAATTGATAGTTCGTTACTCGGTAGAACGACAATCTATTAATTTTATGAAAACAAATGCACTTAAAAAATGTTGGTAGTGTACCTGGAATGGTATTATGACATTATTTCTTGACATACATAGAAACACAGAATCAAATTTTATTTTTGAAAGAACATTATTTGGCATTAATTTGTTGAAGATTATTTCTATCAAATGTTGGGCACGGCTACGTCTCTGATGGTCCATTCATTGAGTTCAATTTTCAATGACTCGTTCGAGTATTGCGACTGGTAATTGGCAAATGGCACTCGTGATGTTTTGTTCCAAACATCCCAAAGATTTCAAGCATCAAATGGTCGGTTATAATAACGGTCGCCAGGTATAGACCGATGATTTCATCGGCCATCATACCACGACAAATCGTTGTTTTTTCTTAATGAAATGGCATCTCTTGAATCTCTTCAGGTTGATACTCATGCCAAGTGCCTCCATTTTGCAGGTTTACATACTCATTTATCCAGAAATGGGACTTATCGCTGAATAAAATTTAACTCGTAAACGTCGGATCTTCTTGGAACCTTTTAAGAGATCATTAAAGGAAGCGATGTTGCTTGAGAAGGTCAGGCGGCTTCAGTTCTGCCACAAGCTGTATTTTGTACTTTTTTCAATTTAAGATCTCGACGTAAAATGCGCCACGTTGTTCCATATTTCAGAACGACTTGCTGCGAACGGTGTAGAATCAACTCTCCACGGTCTTAGTGTACACTCAGAGCTAGGTCTGCTATGTTTTATTCACTGCGAACTGGGATGTCAATAAGAATCTCCGTAAACACGACCCCACAAAAAACTAATCCTGCGATGTAAAATTTTTGAGGCTAAGCCAAAGAATTCATTATTTCGGTGGGTGTATAGCCCGCAGTGCCATCTTGTCGGAACCGGAGATTGTCCTCACCAACATCCTCCGATTCAGCAACCAAAAAGTCATTAATAATGGCTTTCCTCATTGACTTTTGACTTTCCTCATTGGCTAACTCCCTAAATAATGACTTTTTAAAGATGTCACAATGTCTCAACAATGTCTATTCAGTGAAAAAATCGGAATAGGTGGTCATCTCGTTATCTTAATGGAACTTGGTACGCATATAAACTGGCACCATTCGAAGTTTGGTGTTGTAGTTCGGCGTAATATTCTTATTCCATGCCCAAAAACCGCCATTACTCGAAAACGCCCGCCCTCTAATTGTTTCAATGTATATATCTCCTAAGTCACTTAAGCTTTAATGTCGAAATTCATTCAGGACAAATTCCTTAAGGCCCGGTTCCTCTTTTTGAAAAAATCGAAACATTTTTTTTCTTTTTTTTTTCATAAATTGCTACTGTATACTCGTGGAAATAGTATAGATATAGTCCCGAAGGTCAGCAAGACCGAGAAGCAGGTTAGAAGAGTAAGGAGCGCTGCGGGTAATCCGGCCGCTCGAACGCCTTCGGTTGCGGCAGCTACTCCGTGCCTTTGGTTTAAACTGATTATTCTCCGAACCACGTTTTTTCGAATGGATGGCACTTTCATTTCAAAACTGTTGCACTTATCGATATGAACCGAACCGCATTTTACTCTTTAGATGTCTGGCTATGGCCTTAAGCAGAACCAGAAATATTCATTATTATTTAAAAAAGTTATAAACAATTAAAAGTGAAAAAAGGGTTAAAAAAAGTCAAAAGTCCGCCATTTTTTTTTTATTGAAAATGTTTCATTCTGCTTGAGGCCATAGCTAATTCGATAAAGAACATGAAACCGTTTTGGCGTTTGCTTTCAGATAATTCTTTTCCAACAAATGATGTCATCCATCTACGGATCGGATGAGTTTCAGCAGCCATTTTCAGGACCGCCATTTTGAAAAAAAAAATTTCAAGTAATTTAATATTATATATGTAAAAAGAATTGATTACTCAAAATGTTTTGTAATAAAAATAAAACGTATTAAAAAAATTACGTTTTTAGAGGAACCTGGCCTTAAGCACTCCTTCCAATTCGTAAAAATTGATGAAATGCGTATATAGCCCGGCCATATAATAGCTATGTGAAAAACTACTAAAAGCGCGCTAATCAACAAACAAGTACGCCAGAGACTTAAACTTCTACACCAGAGAAGGGACGAGAGGGCTTTATAAGAGCCGGGGTTAACTTACGACGATGGGCCAATGAAATAAATCGCACTACTTGCTATAAAACGCAATTTTAAATTCCATTTGATTCCTTCGCTCTCCAGTGTACGAATCTAGTTCTGGCAATACCACATACCATTAACAGCCCACATACCCCTTTCAGACCTAGCTTAATCAATTGCGAGATCTGCTGTTTTTTGCCTTCAATGACTTTCAAATATTATTTTATAGCTTTGTTACCGATATGTAATGATTGTGCGTTCTCTTGTGGTCTGACTCTAAACAAAAGAAAACTAAAAAACTGCACAAAAGAAACAAAAGAGTCAGCTGTTTGAGAACGTCATCCGATAAGTGTAAACATGCGGCCACATAGTGAGTATTTATTTATTTTGTTTTACATAAATTTAAATCAGAAGTACTGAATTTTGTTGATAAATAGTAAGTGTGTTCGATCTTGTCACATTGTTGAATTGTTTAACATTTTCAGGCAGCTAGGTGTTAGTAAAGTTGACATATCACAATTGTGCTATATAGGCACAGCATGTTTTCTTAATGTAAACTCACGTCTGTGCTATCTTACATTTTTTTTTACAGGAAATACTTTGATTTGAATATTGATAACGACGTTCAAGCTGCATTAGAGCTCTTAGACGGTTCTGATGCAGATTTCAGTGACGATATTTGGGTACCATTCAACATTTTCCCAGAATCTCCAGCAAGTGATGAAGATGATAATGAGAATGCAACTGCGTCTGCGACTGCATCAGCAATTTCTCAGGACGATTCAAGTGTAGCAGCTCCGCAAACATCACGGCCAATCATTATTTCTAATATTTTGTTAAATGCAGCACAGCCATCATCTATCAGAAATGTTTCACTAAATACGACTCAGTCATGCACGTCCACAAGTAATACAGTGAAAAGACGCCAACTATGGAAAAGTTCTCCATTTGATTGCAACGATCTACCCATTGCATCTGGTTGTCAAAACGTAGTGAAAACACCATTTTAGTACTTCAAGAATTACTTCCCAGAATCGCATTACGAAATGCTATAAAATTTACAAAAATGTACGTTATGAGGACACGTGGGCAGGAAGTCCGATACAACCTGTGATCGATTTAGTAAGAAACCGTTGCAATAATTTAGCAACTGAAATATTACAGTATTCAATGATTATTCCATATACTGGAAGATGCCCTGCGCGTCAAACAATTCGATCAAAACCAAGACCTACTGGTCTACAAAATTTCATATGTGCAACTGCAAAATTAGGAAAATGGTGATTTAGAGGAGCCGTCATCTGATTCAACCCATTTTTAATAACAGGCATACTGTTATCAACAAAGGATTTGACGTGAGTTTCTGTAAAATATCTTACACATTGACTGTTACTTTTGATAAAATATTCGCTGTAGGAACTAGGGGTCTGCATATCCGATATATACAGATATACATATATACATATATGACATGAAGTTGAAATCTTTTGGCTGTCTGTCTAACTTGAGTAAAAATTGAGTTGGTATGCAGGTTTCTTAGTACATAAAAGTTCAAGTTCATAGATCAGAAACGCAAAAATTTGCCACCGGGATGGAATTACGACGCTATACGGACCAAAGTAAAAACTTGACGATGAGCGTGACAAAATTTGGAACGTAACATTCTGTTCTTATTACTATGTCACACAGTGAAATCGGACAATAACCACGCCTACTTCCCATATAGCAAAATTGTTTTTACTTTCCAGTTCACAAACCAAGAAGCAATTAATATCACGGGACAAAACTTCGCACGAATAATATGTTAGCGTGCGCAACCTTATGATCAAAAATTGTTTAAATCCAACAAAAACTGTTCAAGCCTTGACTTGACTTTTAATCGAAATGGTCGGGCAATTTGTGATATGTATAACTCAAATTAAGGAATAATCCTTCTCTTTCAATGGTATGTCTGTTTGGTTGATTCGGACCAATACTTCCCTTATCCCTTAGATTTTTGAACTCCAGGTGACTTTATACCGCAATATGTGAGTTATCCCAATGAAAATGCGACAGCGCGTTTTACACATAACAATGTATCTTTGTGAATAAAATAGTTAAATTCGAGCGAAAACTTGGCTTAGCCCCCATTAGTCAAGGTTTTCGAACATCCGGATGACTTTACTCTATATGATTGGTTTTACACCTTAAAGTTTTTGATTTTTGCAAGTCGCAAAGTATAAAATGTTCGGTTGCACCTGAACTTAGTACTTCCTTACTTTCCGATTACGCTCTACGAACTCGTCCTCCACGTTTGGCTCGTCTCGTCATCCTGATTATTTATATCTATACTACCTTACATCTAACTTCATTAGTTTTATTTGACACAAACAACCGTTAGATGAACAAAACTACTATACACTGTAGCAACATGTTGCAAGAGTATGAAAATAGTCCTATGTAAACATGCGCAGATAACATTACAAGTTTTCCAAAATTAAATGGGAAAATGAGCGAACAGTCATACCCAGTCCTACATCTACATTTATATCACCATTTAATTAATTGTTTATTTCTTAACCCAGCCAAGCGAGTGACAATTTAGGTAAAAGTTTGAGATAGTATTTACATTTTACTTTGATGGTGGCTGATTTTTGATTTTTTCCTTCTTATCCTTGATTATCGTAGTCACCGCTTACGCGATTATAGCCGAGTTAACAACCGCGCGCCAGTCGTTTCTTCTTTTGGCTACGTGGCGCCAATTAGATATTCCAAGTGAAGCCAGGTCCTTCTCCACCTGGTCCTTCCAACGGAGTGGAGGTCTTCCTCTTCCTCTGCTTCCCCCGGCGGGTACTGCGTCGAATACTTTCAGAGTTGGAGTGTTTTCGTCCATTCGGACAACATGACCTAGCCAGCGCAGCCGCTGTCTTTTAATTCGCTGAACTATGCCAATGTCGTCGTATATCTCGTACAGCTCATCGTTCCATCGAATGCGATATTCGCAGTGGCCAACGCGCACAGGACCATAAATCTTTCGCAGAACTTTTCTCTCGAAAACTCGCAACGTCGACTCATCCGTTGTTGACATCGTCCAAGCCTCTGCATCATATAGCAGGACGGAAATTATGAGTGACTTATAGAGWTTGGTTTTTGTTTGTCGAGAGAGGACATTGCTTCTCAATTGCCTACTCAGTCCGAAGTAGCACCTGTTGGTAAGAGTTATCCTGCGTTGGATTTCTAGGCTGACATTGTTGGTGGTGCTTACGCTGGTTCCAAGATATTACGAAATTATTTACAACTTCAAAGCTGTCTTGACTGTCAACAGCGACGTGAGTGCCAAGTCGCGAGTGCGACGACTGTTTGTTTTATGACAGGAGATATTTCGTCTTGCCCTCGTTCACTGCCAGACCCATTTGTGTTGCGTCCTTGTCCAGTCTGGAGAAAGCAGTACTAATGGCGCGGGTGTTGAGGCCGATGATATCAATATCATCGGCATACGCCAGCAGCTGCACACTCTTATAGAAGATGGTACCTTCTCTATTTAGTTCTGCAGCTCGAACTATTTTCTCCAGAAGCAGGTTGAAAAAGTCGCACGATAAGGAATCGCCTTGTCTGAAACCTCGTTTGGTATCGAACGGCTCGGAGAGATCCTTCCTAATTCTGACGGAGCTTTTGGTGCTGCTCAACGTCAGTTTACATAGCCGTATTAGTTTTGCAGGGATACCAAATTCAGACATCGCGGCATAAAGGCAGCTCTTTTTCGTGCTGTCGAAAGTAGCTTTGAAATCGACGAAGAGGTGGTGAGTGTCGATTCTCCTTTCACGAGTYTTTTCCAAGATTTGGCGCATGGTGAATATCTGGTCGGTTGTTAATTTTCCAGGTCTGAAGCCACACTGATAAGGTCCAATCAGTTTRKTGACGGTGGGYTTTAATCTTTCACGCAATACGCTCGACAGAACCTTATATGCGATGTTGAGGAGGCTTATCCCACGGTAGTTGGCGCAGATTGTGGGGTCTCCTTTTTGAGGATTGGGCATAGCACACTTAAATTCCAATCTGTGGGAATGCTTTCGTCCGACCATAGTTTGCAAAGAAACTGATGCATGCTCGTTATCAGTTCTTCGCCGCCGTGTTTAAATAGCTCGGCCGGCAATCCATCGGCCCCCGCCGCTGTGTTGTTGTTGTTATTCAGGCGGGTAATTGCTATTCGAACTTCTTCCTGGTCGGGCAATGGAACGTCTGCTCCATCGTCATGGATTGGGGTATCGGGTTCGCCTTCTCCTGACGTTGTGCGTTCACTGCCATTCAGCAGGCTGGAGAAGTGTTCCCTCCATAATTTAAGTATGCTCGGGGCATCGGTGACTAGATCACCTTTGGGGGATCTGCAAGAGTATGTTCCGGTCTTAAAACTTTCTGTAAGCCGCCGCATTTTTTCGTAGAATTTTCGAGCATTACTCCTGTCGGCAAGCTTATCAAGCTCTTCGTACTCACGCATTTCGGCCTCTTTCCTTTTCTGTCTGCAAATGCGTCTCGCTTCCCTCTTCAACTCTCGGTATCTATCCCATCCCACGCGTGTTGTGGTCGATCGTAACGTTGAAAACCAATGGTTTCGGTTGCAGCTCTACATAAGGAGTTTGAAAAGAGTTTTGTTTTTTTACCAACCGCACTAAATTCAGGAACAACTCGTTTCACACATATATGTACTGTGCATCAGAAGCTATGTTGATATGATGTATTTCCATTTCTAAAATACTTCTATGATTCCCACGACCGTTTTTACCATGTTTCACTATATTTGTTGCTCATTTTCTCTGCCTTTTAATAGCCAGGACAGTACATTTTAAATTTGCTATGAAGATTGTAACACGTTGAAGGAAACGTCGGAGATCCTATAAGATATATGTGTATATCAGTGAACAGCGCGATGAGCTGAGTCAGTCAGTCAGTCTATTTGCCCGTCTGTAAGCGCAAACTGCTCTCTCAGTTTTTAAGATATCGATCTGAAAGTTTGCACTCGTCCTTTTTCCCTTAGAAGCTGCTCATATGTCGGTAGATCTGAAATCGAATCACTAAAGTATCGAACAAAAAAACCGAAGCAGCGCACTTCGTGGACTTAGTTTTTGGAAGTAGCGTCTGCTGACATTTACTTTAACGTTACTACTACGTCACTTATCTTTGTTTTTATTATTTCAAAGACCTATAGTACAAACACGCTACAAAATCAAAGAAAAGAAAATTTTCAAATATTGCGATCTGTGCTTTCTCCATTGCGATAAAAACAGTGTGTAAAAAGTGTGACGATAAAGCAAACGAGGCGAAATTGTTAAACATTCAAGTTGATGACATCTCAGTTACAGCAACTTGACAGCGAAAGCATTCAGTAAAGCGGGCAATGACAATGATGCTGGGATGAGTAGAAATGGCTTTGACAAAAACAATGATGACTCCAGCTACAATTATAGTGTCACAATCGCCATCGACCTTGCAGTTGCTGACGACTACAATAGCGGTAATGCCACGATTGGTAGGTCAACGTGCAATGCTCCACTTCTCAACAAAACCAAAATCTATGTAACAAAGTAAAACTAATCTGCTAAATTACTATTGTCATCATTTCCAATCGATTAATGCGGTATGCTGAGAAGAATATATAGAATTAATAATAAAAATAAAATTTCGCACCACAAAACAAAAAGGTAAACAAACGGTAGGGTAGCTTAGCTCAACAACAACTATCAATGCTACGGTATTTAAGTCCCGTAATACGGCATCAGCTAACCTCATCATCGAATCAGGTGCAAACTAAACTTCAGGTTTAGGTATGTTGACATGACAGCAACAACAACAAGAGGACAATGACAACACTTTTACAGCACCCGCTAACGACAGAGTTGCAATAAGAACAAACTTAGCAATCAACGTGATCTCGTTTAGCAGAGATCGCAAAGATTGGCGGCGAAAAGTTTTATGTAACCATCGTTTGCTTCACCGTAATAATAGAACATAATCCCTTTAAACGTCTTCCAAAGATTTCATTTTTGCAATTTAATATCCACGGTCATTTCTATAATTATCATTGTTAACTTACGTTCGCATATACATATACGTAATTTTTCGACCCTAAGACGAGACGAGTTAAAATCCGCATGTTAGCCTGACGGTCCGTCTGTCTATGCAAGGTGTATCTTAAGCAAAAATTGATATTTCGCAATGAAACTTGGTACACGTGTCTTTTGGAAAAAAAAATGAAACACGAGTTCATAGACAACAACAGCGTAACTCTTTGATGGGTGACATTACATTTTTGAAGTAAAAAATACTATAGTGTTCCGGTATCTTTATAAGTTTTAGTTGCAACAACAAAACTGATCACAACAAGATCTTCTGAGGAGTTACATCGCATAGCAACAACGACATTTTGCGTCTTGTAAAGCTATAAATAAATTGTTGTTGCGCCCACATAGAAATACTATACAACGAAATATATTATATAAGGTTTTAGCTTAGTAATGTAGACGTGAGCGAACTTACACGAGAAGTAAATAAGTGAAAAATAAATAATTATATTTTTATACTCTCGCAACAAAGTTGCTAAAGAGAGTATTATAGTTTTGTTCACATAACGGTTGTTTGTAAGTCATAAAACTAAAAGAGTCAGATATAGGGTTATATATACCAAAGTGATCAGGGTGACGAGTAGAGTTGAAATCCGTCTGTCCGTCCGTGCAAGCTGTAACTTGAGATACCATGATGAAACTTGGTACACGTTTTTCTTGGCTCCATAAGAAGGTTAAGTTCGAAAATGGGCAAAATCGGCCTACTGCCACGCCCACAAAATGGCGGAAACCGAAAACCTATAAAGTGTCATAACTAAGCCATAAATAAAGATATTAAAGTGAAATTTGGCACAAAAGATCGCATTAGGGAGAGGCATATTTGGACGTAATTTTTTTGGAAAAGTGGGGGTGGCACCGCTCCCTACTAACTTTTTTGTACATATCTCTAAAATTACTATAGCTATGTCAACCAAACTGTATAGAGTCGTTTCTTTTAGGCATTTCCATATACAGTTCAAAAATGRAAGAAATCGGATAATAACCACGCCCACCTCCCATAYAAAGGTTATGTTGAAAATCACTAAAAGTGCGTTAACCGACTAACAAAAAACGTCAGAAACACTAAATTTTACGGAAGAAAAGGAAGCTGCATCCAGGCTTTTTTTAAAAATTGAAAACGGGCGTGGTGTCGCCCACTTATGGACCAAAACCATATCTCATTAAGTACTCGACCGATTTGAATGAAATTCGGTATATAATATTTTCTTAGCACCCTGATGACATTTACCAAATATGGGTGAAATCGGTTCACAACCACGCTTGAAATCTCGATTATCACTTTATCATGCGAGAGTATAAAATGTTCGGTGACACCCGAATTCAGCCCTTCCTTACTTGTTTTTTCTATCATTGTAAATTTTTAAGGGTGCCTAAATATTTTTCAGCTCTACAAATTTTCTGCTGAAAATAATTTACCACTTGTTGCTGATTCACAACTGTACTGCACATGAGCCAATTGACAAATTACAGACAGATGATGGAAGCAATGCGGCAATACTCTTACCACCTTACGTGACAGCTGTTTGGCAGCCCATGGATGAAAATCCCATAAAACTCTGTAAGCAAGGATACCGAACTAAACTCTTACGGAATGTTGTAGCACAAGAAAACGTTTCGGTTGAGAATATTTTGAAAGGACATTCAATTCGCAATGCCATATTGCTGATTAAATTGGCATAGGATGAATTGCCAAGAGCCGTGCTTATAAAATCTTGGAAAAATATAATACAGTGAGTGGGACGATGACCAGTACGACAGCGAAGACGAAATTCCATCGATCACATTGATTAGATCCAATAGTTCTCCCGATGATACACTTCATTAGGTACAACCGTTATTGTCCAAGTTGGGTAGTGTTGACGACGATAAAAATACGGAAGATGATGAAAATTTCGAATTGCCCGGCAATGAAGTTTAAGAACCAGTTATAGGAGAAGATAAGCAACAACAGAAAGTAAGTTTTTCGGAAGCAGTTGAATGCATCAATGCCTTGTTAAAGTGGTATGAAAACAATAACGATCCAAATCAGGAGCTACAGTATTACATAATAAAATAAACAAACTAGTCTCGACCGCTTCTTGAAACCATCCCTTATAAATTAATATGTACATATGTATGAATAATGTTTAAAAGTACAAACTAAAACTAAGTTTCTGTTTTGTTACGAGTAATAGTGAGTCACCAATATTATGTTAATTTCCGTGTTGTTTTTTTTTTTTTTTTTTGTTTTTCTCAAATTCGAAAACCCTTTTTCGTGATTCTACTGGATATCTGTCTTATATTATAGATCATTAACTTATTTAGCTTTCTTACGATATTTTACTTCTTGTCAGCGATATATATAATATAATATATGATGTGGCAATAATTGCAAACTATTGTACAATTACTTCTGTCGCTCAAAAAATAAAATTGCAACAGAACAGCCGTTCTCGGCCCGAATAATGGCACTGACATGGCGATGGCAGCTCGTACTATTTGTCATAATAAAAATATTCGCACAAAAGGCGCACCGCCGCAGTCGTATTTGTTTAGGGCATTTCGGCATTTGGCTTACTCTCCTCGTTCCAATATAGTAAGTTTAAGTAGGTTCCCTTCGTCGTGGTGTGGTGTAGCGTGCCGTGTCGTCTTCTATGATTCCGACGCAGCGCTGAATCGTGGGTGTGGGTGTGTTTAGCACACTTTATAGTCATTAGCCGCCTTTCTTCCTGCCGTTCGTCGTATACGCCTATTGTTGTCATCGCTTTCTACGGTTGCTATATATTTTCCACGAGGGACGTGCTAAGTTCAAAATATTAACTTTTGCTTTTATAAGTGAAAATTTATGCCACAAAGACTTTCGCCTCATAATCGTCAGCGGCAGGCGCATATTGCGCTGCATTCGTTTGTAAAGAAAGCGCTTAAAGTCACCTGACGATCAAAGTTTGAATAAAATCCATTTTGGATAACAACTATAAGCTATAGCCATACTGAGAATTATGTTCGGAAATTGTAGTAATGCCTTTGAAAACACTCTACGCCTAATTTCGTGACGATATGTTGACAATGAAAGAAAATTCCGCACAACACTTGATTCCGATTGTTCAGTTTGTATGCCAGATATTTGCTAATAGTAGATCGAAAGAGGCGGTAAACAAAATTTCAGATCGATATCTCAAAAACTGCGAGACTCTAAGGGTTTACAGAAATACTGACAGGCAGACGGGCACAGCTATATAGACTCCCCTCATCACTGATCATTTATACATATATAGTGGCAAACTAAATATACTACTGAAGTTCACGCAAGTGAGGAAAGTTCTCTAATCGCCATTCACTTGGGAGTGGCCAGAAACGAATCTTTTAGATATGTCTCAAGCAGCTCACGACTTCTGGTCTTTGACCAAGCCTAAGAACATACGTTCATAGGGTTGTGCCCTGGGTTTAGGACCCGCCACGAAAAAACATCCCAATGAAAATTAGCAATCAGCCTCGGATGAGAGACCCCCCTTTTGATGACGACCATGGCAAACGAAATAAGGACTACGAAGTGAGGGCATACACCTGGCATGTCCGGTCCCTTAATTGGGAAGGTGCCGCTGCCCAGCTGGTTGACGTCCGCGTAAAAATAAAGGCTGATATCACCGCCGTCCAAAAAATGCGATGTACGGCACAAGGACAGAAACAAGTAGGTCCTTGTGGCATTTACTARAGTGGCCATATAAAGGAGCGCAAGTTTCGTGTGGGATTCGTGGTGGGAGGGAGACTCCGTCGCCGAGTACTATCATTTACTCTGGTGAATGAACGTCTAGCCACAATCCGCGAGGTTCTTCAACATAGCGCTGATTTGCGCCCCCGCCCCGACGGAAGAGAAGGACGATGTGACCAAAGATGCCTTTTATGAGTGCTTGGAGCGCACTTATGAGAGCTGCCTTCGATACGCCAGGGTGGGCAAAGAAGGTATCTTTGGCACTACAGACGGTAAATTCAGCCTCAACGAGGAAACATCCCCAAATGGGTTGAGGCTGCTCGACTTCGCCGGGGCCCGAAATATGGTTACCTGTAGTACTAGATTCCAGCATAAGAAGATACATCACGCTACGTGGCTGTCTCCGGATCGAAAAACCACCAACCAGATCGATCATTTTGTGATAGACGGAAGACACGTCTCCAGAGTTTTAGATGTGCATGCGTTCCGAGGTTCTAACATGTACTCGGACCACTATCTTGTTGCAGCCACGATTCGCACCCGCCTCTGTGCAGCAAAAAACACACGCCAATAAACACAAGGAAGGTTCGACGTCGAGAAGCTGCAATCACAACAGACAGCCGAACGATTTCCTACTCGGGTTGCACTCCTCCTCTCTGAGAGCACTCGTCAACAACTCGGTATAGGGGAACTGTGGGACGGCATTTCAAACTCCTTACGTACAGCTGCAACCGAAACCATTGGTTTTCGAAAAGTTCAAAAGAGCAGCTGGTATGACGAGGAGTTCCGTGTCGCAGAGGATAGAGTTGCCTACCTCGCAACGTTACGATCGTCCACAACACCTGCGGGATGGGATAGATACCGAGAGTTGAAGAGGGAAGCGAGACGAATTTGCAGACAGAAAAAGAAAGAGCCCGAAATGCATGCAAGGCGAACCCGATTCCCCAATCGATGACGATGGAGCGTTCCATTGATTGGAATTTAAGTGAGCTCTGCCCAATCCACAAAAAGGGAGATTCTGCACGAACTTTTGTGAAAGTACATTGTCAGATGTGAAAGCTTACCATACAAGAACATGATTCCGACCGTTCAGTTTGTATGGCAGCTATATGCTATAGTGGTCCGATATCGGCAGTTCCGACAAATGAGCAGCTTCTTTAAGAGAGAATGGCGTTTACAAAACTTCAAACAATAGCTCGTATATATACAGACAGACGGACAGACAGACATGGCTAAATCAACTCAGCTCAACACACTGATCATTTATATATACACTTTATAGGGTCTCCGACGGTTCCTTGTGTCGTGACAAACTTAATATACCTTGTTCAGGGTATAAAAATATAGTGTCGTTTGCTGTCCCTGTTGGTCTACTTTTGCAGCGTCCCCTTGAAAGAACCTTATATAAAGATTTTTGATCTTCCGGATGTCTTTAGCCGAATTTTTAAAATCGATTTTTGCATACTCTAAGGCCCTACCACTGCAGAAACTCGATCGATCTTATAAAAAACATGTGTAGACACCGATGTTTAAGTTCGTTCTTTACAAAGTTTATACCGGTTTCTATAATTTTACAATATGTTGCTTCAGTATTATACAACCTAGTTTACCTAACGGTTGTGCATATCACTCGTCCTGGCAAGCTGTAACTTAAGTAAAATTTGAGATATCTTCATGAAACTTTGTATGTGCCTTCCTTAGCAAAGTTCGTAGATAGGCGTAATCGGACCACTGTCACGTCCACAAAACGCTTTTCTCATTCTTTTTAAATTCTTATGCCACATTGTGAAAATGGACAACATCCACGCCTACTTCCCATATAGCGCAATTTTAAATTCCACTTCGTTCCAATTAGTTCAGTGTACAGTACACACATTAAGAAGCAATTAATATAACAGGATAAAAGTTTACGTAATGTCTTGACTATATGCCACCTTATGCCCAAAAATTGTTTTTGTTAGATTTGGCTAAAAAAATTTCAAAATTCATGTTTGTACGAATCATTTGAATATATGCGTACAATTTTAAACAGATTCTTCTTCACAAATAAAACAATTGCTAAGTATTTGGAATAGTAGAAAAGAAGTGCAACCAAATATGCAKTGAATAATCTACTGGCTCAGTAATCAGTCATTGAGTATGTATTATACCACGTGCATCCTAAATTACTGATGTCATGTACTTTCCAGCCACATTTTTCGTCTTTCCACGCCTGAGAACCGGTTCATCATGTGCAGTCCACTAGAATAACAGTCGATTGGACTCCAGTGGGAAATGATGGAGCTATGTTTCTATCACCGACAACAAAAATTCGGCTTTATTCCGATTAGAGCGCACTCAAACACTTCTCAGAGTCATATATTCGTTGTTTTTGTTGGCTTATGAACTTGCGAGTCACCCACTTTGCACAGAGCTTTCGCTTCTTTAGAGCATCATTTTCCTCGGTGCTGATTTCGCCTGTTTCCAACTTAGCAAACATCTTTTAAACGGTGGATTTCCCTGAGCCCAAATTCACCAGTATTTTCCCCCAAAAAGCAATGCTTAATTAACACATGAAATTTTTTTGTAAACTAACTCAAGTTGCTTCACAGAAATACTATATCTCATTAACTAATAATTATAATCCAACTAAAGAAATATTATATATGGTGGTAATAGTATAGTAGTAGTAGTAGGACGGGTCCTGTAGTATATAATATGATATAAGATAAAAATAATTAATATTAGCAGTTCTGGATGGGATACAAACCGAGAGTTGCAGAGGGAAGCGTGATGCATTTGCAGACAAAAAAAGAGAGATGCCGAAAGGTGTGGGTACGAAGAGCTTGAGAAACTTTCTACGAAAATATGCGGTGACTAACAGCATATTTCAAGATCGGAGCATTCTCTTGTGGAACCTTCAGAGATGATCTAGTGACTGATGCCCAGAGCATAATAGAAATATGGAGGGAACACAGGAAATGGTGAACCCAATTCTCAAATCGATGACAATGCCGCAAACGTTCAACTGAACGACCATGAAGAAGTTCGAAGAGGTACTACCCGCCTGAAGAACAACAAAACGCCGTGGGATAAGTCTCCTACCCATCGCATATAAGGTTCTATCGAGCGTATTGTATGAAAAATTAAAGCCCACCGTCAACAAACTGATTGGCGGGCGGCTACGCTGGCTAGGTCATGTCGTCAGAATGAAGAAAAACACTCCAGCCCTGAAAGTATTTCACGCAGTACTCGCCGGGGAAAGCAGAGGAAGAGGTAAACCTCCACTCCGTTGAAGGAACCAGTTGGAAGAGATCTGGCTTCACTTGCAATCTCCAATTAGTACCACGGTAGTTACAAAAATTTTGACCGCTTTCTTTGGGCAAGTATGTTTCGTTATATTACTGTATACAACAAAATCATCTCTCCATCGATTGGCCAAAATTTCCCAGCAATTCGCAATGCCAGTCTTTATAAAAAACTCGTTTGCAATGTCTCTAAGTTCACTTA